GAAAATGTCACTAGAGGCCCCATGGTCATGAAATTTATGCAGAATAAATGAACTAACGGAGTTTGTTGCTGTCTGACTTCTCTTTTGTTTCTAATCCAGTATCAGTGACTTAGGTCAGAATTCTAGTTCCCCAAAGTCAAGTGTGATCACCGCCATAGATCCAGGAGGGTGCAGGGCAGGGTCTTTTGCTTCTGGGAGTAGGATGTCAGGACAGGCCCAGGGGAAGCGTTGCCAAGGGCTGCATGAGGCCCTACAACAGGGGTGGGGAACCTTTTTTCTGCCAAGGGCCATTTGGATATTTATAACATCATTCTCGGGCCATGCAAAATTACCAACTTAAGAATTAGCTATGAAAAGAGTTCCTAGATTTATTGAATTTTGAGTCCCTCCTGCAGTTGCCTTGGCAGGGCCAGACCCAATGATTTTGAGGGCAGGCCCTAGACAGCTCAGACGTTCCCAGCCCTGCCCTACAGGAGGGAGCCGAGCGAGGTCTCCTTCCCACTGTGTTCCATGGTGAAAGTGGCTTCATTGCTACAGGGAAGGAGTCATTCTGTGTGACGTGTCACCCCCAGGAGGAGATACCCACCCTTCTGTAACTGGCAGGGTAGAAGTTAAACCCTCTGGAGAAAACCTCCATGGGTCTGACGGAAGGGTTAGGGAGTCTGAACCCCTGGAACTGAATCCAAGTCCACGTCTTCCATGTAGTGCTGCCCCCTTGCCCGCTGAGAAGCTAATCTCCCTGATTTAGGCCGAGGTTAACAAATGCGCTGGGTTAGCTCACACCCGCGTCCTGGGGAAAGTGTGGATCTGTCCTCGACCTGCCCTTCCCTGGAGAAAGAGGGGAAGAGCTCCTCTAACCAGGAAACAGCCCCAGGCTGGAGACCAGCTAGCAGCTCTTTCAGCCAAGCCCTCCGTCTCCTCCACAGACGCAGATTAACTGATGAGCCATGTTTCCTGAAGCTCTTCTGCAAACATTCTCATTGTGAAAATTCTCAAGCAAACCCAAAAGCAGGGAAAATCATATGCTAACACCCTGTAAGCCCAGCCCCTCGAGTCAGTAACGCTGACGGCTGAGCCTGCTCTGCCCACCCCGTTTTCCTGTCCCGCTGAAATGTGTAAAGCCAGTCTCGGTACGTCATCTCATCTCTGCAAACCTTAACGTGCACCAAAGAGCCTCTGAACTGTTACACTTGGTGATGGAGACAGTCTGGGCAGCGGTGGTTGGCAGGAAGTGCTGGCGGAAGTCGGGTTGGTTAGAAACTTCTGCTCGCGGCGTCTGGCTCTGGGTTAACCTCCTTAGAACAGGAGCGTGGTGCGCGGAGCAAGTGTGTCCCTCTCTGCTCGGAAGTCCTGCATCCTAAAGGCTTCGGTCTGGTCCAGTTAGAGACCGAGGAGAAAAAGCTAGAGAGCTCCTTGCGAGGTCCCCAGGCTCATCCCCACTTATGCCTAGTTCCCCCTCTCGTCTCTCCTTTCAATAGGCTTGAACGTCTAACGTGGGAAGAGGGCTTGATACGTTTTTGCCCTTTAATGATCAAAGTGACTAGGACAGTGATGTATCATTTACTAACCTAAGGGCATGGTGGGCATTTGCTTTTTGTTTTCTTTGAAAGGCTCCCAAAACCTGCTTGGTCTTGTGCCGAATGGCTTCGCCGTCTCCTGTTCCTTCCCGTGGGAACCACTCCTCCACCTGCTACTCCGCTGGTCAGAGACCCCGGGGGGAGGGGTGTGTTCTGGCCTCAGTGGGGACGAGGAGACCGGGCTCACTCGCATCCCACCGAATTCATCTAGACTTTCTCTGCCACCATCTCTTCGTGTTTTCTGATTCGATTTCTTTTACTCTTTGCCCTGATGCGGTTAACGTTAGTTCTTTGAATTTGGCTTATTGAGCACACCACTGAGACTGGTGTAAATTAGAAGTGGGTTTGTAGAGAAGCCTTCCTCAGAGAGGCTCTGGGTGAGTGGGGGACCTTGTGCTCGGTCAGAAAGGACAGAGAAGTGCCCTTTGACCTTTGACCCCTATGAAGGGTCGTCTCAAGCCAGTGTCGTCATCACTCCCAAGGTGTGTTGGACTAAAGAGTAAATTTACCCACAAAAGGGGACATGTTAAAGGGAAATATTTATTTTATTCACATTAACTGTGTTTTGCAAACACAATGCAGCTACTGTATGTCGAGATGGAGAGTTTTTTTGTTTCTACTTGGAGTTCATTAGGGTAATTTTTTTATCTGTATTTTTATTTATTTTCATAAATAACTGAGTGAACTGTGCAGTGCTTTGGAAGGTGCAAAGGTGTATAGACATTCGTATCGTGAAGGGACTTTGGATCCGGTAGAGGACCTGGGCATGTAGTCAGCTATAATGCAGGGGCTGCTGGGGACAGAAGCAGACCCTCCCGGGTGGGGTGCTGCGGAGGGCGGCAGGGACCAGGGCCATTCTGATGCCCCTCCTAGTGACCGTCCAGAAGTCTAGTATTTCATACATTCACCATCACGAGAGTCTTGTAGAACGTAACTGCTTTTATCCCGGCAAATTCCGTGTAAGGTAAATTTATGAGATGTGCCTCGCTGCCCTGCTGTTCATGGTTGTCTCTGCATTCCTAACACTGCGTTACTCACTGCTGGGCCTCTTGGCCAGCAAAGCACAGCTGATTAATAGGGGAAATAATTAGTAACACATTGGGCAGCACAAACAAAGCCTCTATAAAATTTTCTCTCCAAAGACTTATTTAAAGATCAGTATTCAAGATGTCAGCTGTTGGAGCTCATTGGTAGGAGCAGACAATGTTGATGCTACATGTTAGGATCCGGTGGTGGTTGGCTCTCTCATCCCAGCTCCAATGTCCTAAACAAAATCCAAATCTAGCTGATACCTAAACAACAGAACGTGCCATCGGTTTGTGATTTTAAGCGAAATGCGCACACGCGGCTGCTGGCCTGGTCCCCTGGAGTCTGGGCTGCGACATCACTTCAGATCATGTAAACACGTATTATTGCAAAACCTCGCTGACGGGAACCTCATAACCTAAACAGTGTTCTCTGGAATGTAATCTGTTGTTTTTTAATATAAAAGAAATTAAATCAAAATTGCTTTGAAGAAAAACAACTCTGGGGTTTTGTTGAGTTGCACATTGCCGGGAAGTACTGTTCCCTAGTCGCACTGACCCCGGGGCAGAAAGAAGCTGAGGTCCGTCTTCCGCAGACCTCTCCAGTGACTGCGCTTGTCCCATCGTGTCACTCACGGAGACCACGTCTGTCAATGAGGACACATCTGTCACACACCACATCTGTCACCCGAGGCCACAGGAGCCCTCCCCCATGCTCTGACCCTGGAAGAAGGTACATGCTGTTTTGTGTTAACCACACCCAAAAGGGTCATCCCTTTGGACAATAAACTGTGGCCTCTCCCTCTGAGAACATTTCCAAATGGATGTGACACTTGAAAAGTGGAGCCAGTTTCTGCAAAGAGCTCGGTGCCACAGTCTCCCAGCGCCAACAAGGCAGTGAGGAGCCGACCTGCCGTCCCTAAGGCTCCTTTCTCCCAAAGCCAGTTCCGTTTCCCAGCTCCTCTGCGGAGAGAACACGGCTGCCTTCAGGAAGATTGAAAACGTGTCCATCCTGCTCTGGGGCCACAACCGCAGGACTGACTGGGAAACACGCTCTCGGGGTTACTCTCTGCAGCCGTTTCTTAGCCCACGTGGACCACTTACGTCCGGTCCCAGCAGGCGCTATACACACTGCTTAGTTCATCGACTAAGGGATGAGGCAGGATTCTACTTTAATGGAAAACACTAACTTAATTGCTATTTTATAAGATTTTATTCTGTGTCTCAAAAAAAAAAAATTGGGCCCAGCCGGGCGTAACTCAGTGGTTGAGCCTCGACCTAGGATCCAGGAGATCACAGTTTGATCCCCGGTCAGGGCACATGCCAGGGTTTTGGGATTGATCCCCAGCGGGGGGAGTGCAGGAGGCAGCCAATCAATGACTCTCTCTCATCATTGATGTTTCTCTCTCTCTCTCTCCCTCTCCCTTCCTCTCTCTGAAATAAAGATATATACACACACACACATATACATATACATATACACACACACACACACA